TGTCTGCTTTATTAAATAAACGGTAAAATCTTTTTTTTAATGAATCCAAAAATGTTAGAATTGGAGGATGGCAGAGAACTATAATATATGATGAAAGTCTTGAAATACAGTGCAAGTAGATTGGAATATTAGGGAAAAAGAAAGTACAGATAGTCCTCGATTTACACCCATTCATTAAATGACTGTGCAAAGTTACAATGGCATGAAAAAAGTAACATGACCATTGTTCACACTTATGACAGTTGCAGCAATCCCATGGTCACATGATCAAAATTTGGATGCTTGGCAACTGGTTCATACTTTTGACTGTTGCAGGGTCATGTGATCACATTTTGTGACCTTCTGACAAGCAAAATCAATGGAGAAGCCAGATTCACCTAACAACTGTGTTACTGCATTGATTCACTTAGCAACTGTCTTGCTTAACAACAGAAATTTTGGGGTCAACTGTGGTCATAGGTCAAGGACAAACTGTTGACTATGTAAACAGAATCACGGCAAGGGAGGAGCTGGGATAGGTAGTGAGGAACTGCTTATCATAGGGCCTGAAACTCTAGCACCAAGAACTGAAATTGGGCCCTGCCCTTAATAGAATCTGCTTAATAGAATCTGTAGAAGGAAACATAGGAAAATGAGGCAGATTTAAAACAAGGCATTCTGGGCAAAGGTCAGAGTTTCCACTATAAGCAACCAACCACCACCAATGAAGAGGGTGTCATTTCATGGTTTCTAGCCACTGACACCAGAACCATCTCGCAGACCAGAAGGGGAAGACTAAGAATCCTGAAGGGATAGGCAAGAGAGTCCAGCTGAGACACCAGAATCTGTCTTATCCATATTCAGTCTTTACTGATGAGCAGGCAACTTATCAATATGTCTAAAATGCTTCACAATAGGGTGAACGACACATTCTCGTTCATTTCAGGAAAAAAGCCATTGGTACCACTGGCATAGATGCAGTCTTTAAAGCCAGATTGTCAGATCAGGCAATCAAGGGAAAGGATGCACGAGGGGAAAAAAATACAAAAACAGCACTTTGGCAGGCACCTACTGAACAAAGAAACACCATGGAATACAGTGAGGTTAGTATAAATGAAAAGAAGAGCCACAGATATCTGACTGAGATCAAGATAAAGCACAGCCAGTGATGCTCATTGCCAGTAACCTTGTCAGTGATATCTGGTGATCAAGGATCTTAAATATTGCTGAACATGAGTTTTTAAAATCTATGATATAAAATTCATTTTTATCTAAACTTTACTGAAACATAGCCAAGTACTAATATATTTCTCAGGCAAAATATAAAGGTTCTGAAAATATCAGTAGGTTCATTCTTGCCCAACATTTATGTTCAGAGTTTCTACATTCATCTATTTTATATTCCCTCTGTGCCCAATACTTCCATATTATAGTTTATATAAGTAAACTTTTTTGGGCTTGACATGATATCCTGTGTATACAAAAACAGTATGTTTCTTGATTACCTTTTTGTCATGAATTCTCTCTAAATCAGCTTTTTCTTCTAGAAACATTTGCTCTTGTTCCTGAAAGTAGTTGAGTCAATAAAATTACCATTGTTATTTTTTTCATCATAACCTAAAATATAATCCAAGAAATTATAAATCTTGTATCTCAGTGGGGAAGATCAGTAACTCAGAGCAGATAATCAATTAGACAGATAATAGATTTGATAAGGAAAGGGATGGGGAATTGAGTTGAGAATCTCCTCAGTTCTAGTGTCATATAAAAACTATGTATATAACCTTTTGGTTGAACATATGCAGAATCAATCTTGGTCTTTTGCCTTTCCCCTTAAGCTTATTGGAACGTTCTCCTTTTCCATCTTTCCTCATCTCTTTATTTCCTGAGGCAGTTTCTACCACCACATCATTCCTTGAGCCTCTATTGCCAATGTCTTCCCCCTTCTGAGGTAATCAAATCCTTTATTTAAATGGTTCCAACCCTCCCCTGCCATATGCAGGCATGCTAGCACAGTAAGGCATATATATTCAAGATATTCAAAATGTGATATCTATCCAGTGCAAGTCTGCCTCAGCTGACCTGCACTGGAGTGGTAATTGGAAAATTCTGGACTAGGTCTGAACTCCTGATATTGTAGAATTCTAAATGTCATCCAATACAGTCAGACCGAAGAATGCTGAAAGATGTAGGGCAAAAAATATAAAAGACCCCTGTTATAAGGAGTAAGAACAGAAGCCAAGAATGCTTACAATGTAGCACCAAGGCAACAGATTTATGCTAATGCACTAATTTTACAAATGTTAAGATAGACGGGATGATAATTTTCAACTTCACTGAATGCTTTTTTATTCCACTGATAAGAACACTTTTCAAATCATTCCATAAGAAAAAAGAAAAAAATCTTAAAGGCTTTAGCCTGAAATAAGAAAGTATTCCATTATTTTTCCTTACAATATTGTCAAGGCCTCCAACAACACTCTCTCTCCCTCCCTCCCCCCCATCCCTCAAAAAAGAAAGTGCCCACCATTCTGCTGAGTAAAAAGCAGGGCTCACCTGCAGTTGTTGCTGCCTTTGATGGTCCAATTCTAGTAACTGTTGTTCTAATTCAGACACACACAGCTTTAAGTCTTCTGTCACATCTGATGTCTATAAAGATTTAATAAAAATGGGAATGTTGGTCTTCAATTCATTTGGGCAGAAATAGCTATACTTTTCAAAGTTATGCTTTAAAAGGTAAAAGGAATGAAATAGTGTATTTGTCCAATCATCCCTAGACGGCATGCTGAGGATCCCTCCTTTCTGGGACATTTATGCAATTTGGACTGGACAGCAGGTATCAGCACTACACTTTCTCTGTACCAGCCATTATGGAACAATGTTTTATTATTTCACAAAACTGCCGTAGGCAGTCCTTGGATTATGACCACTTGGTCAGCAACAGTTAAAAGTTACAATGGCCCTGAATGCAGGGGAATTATCACAGATCCTCAGAGTTCCAGCCATCATAATGTCCCCAGAGTCACGTGATTGCAATCCGGTGCTCCGAGTCTGGCTCATGATTACGAAGTCACAACAGGCCGCAATCACATAATCATAATTTCCAATATTCCCTGTTGGTTTCCACAAGTACAGTGGGGCAAAAAAGTATTTAGTCAGCCACCAATTGTGCAAGTTCTCCCACTTAAAA